ATTTAGAGATGAAACTCTCAACAAGATGTGCGAGTCGAGCGACTCTAGAGACAAGCTCCTCGTCAACAAAGAAGATCCAGCTCAAGAGTCAGCAAAGATTCCAGAAGTCAGCCGCACCAACGGCGCATCTGAAACTTGAGATAGTTTAGGGTTGTCTAATTTTGATTGTAACTCTTGTAAGTCGACGAGGTCGTCGACAGCTTAAGTGGGGGAGGATGTTAGAATCCAACTCCTTTCGATGTATTAGATTCCCTTTAAGTGCTTTCCTAGAGTTTAGTTTATGCTTTCTTAGCTTGAGGTCCCATTATTGTGTTACTGTCACATCAGTGTTCACTAGGGATTCTCCTTGTATGTCATTTAAAGCTCTTTAGAGGGTGAATGATTAATGAAATCTTAAGCCTTCTATCAAGTGTTGCTTTGCTTTTATGCTTGTTTGTTGTTAAACCTTTATAGATATTGTGTCTCACTTGCATAATAGCTCCCCTCCAAACCAACTTGACGCATTAAGAACTCGTGGTTCGGACCCGCTTGTGCCCGCCTTGAAGTATCGGTCGTCACAAGCCTCGACCACCCGCACTCCGTCGCCCAAATAGACGCGAGTGCTCCTTTAATTTGATTGCCCGCTTGTGTTGCTTTGTGCTCACAAGCCCCTCTTCCGCTCAAGGCTAGCGTTCTTGCCGCCAAAAGGCTAGAGCGCGCCGCACGTTTCGGGGTCCAAACCCCCGGACCGTGACAATAGGCCACAGAGCACCCACATAACAGGCAAAGAAAAAAGCAGCTTGCTACAACCTAACAATGGCTCATTTTTCATTCTAACCCTAATTTATTGTATAGCCCAAATCAATAAACAGAGCACCCCAATGTATTTTTTACCATACAAATTGTTGCTGACACCTACCTGACAAAGCAAGAGTAAACAATTCTTACTCTACTAAATAGCAAGACACAAAATACACACATGATGGGATAATGCCTTACCTAAAATCCAATATTGAGTCTCTCTAAGCTAGCAACCTGGTTAGGTGTTCTCACTTGCTTCTCTTTTGCCTTAAATATAAAAGGTAGGAAGAAGGACCCCAAAAAATTAGCCTTAACTATCTTAAGAGTTTACAAGGAAACATAATCTAGGAATATGTTACGAACTAGCATAGCTTAAAGGAAAAAGAAAATATAATTTATAGATCTGAAATTACAGTTTATTGAAGATAAATGTCAAGTATTCAAAAGACTAGACTCTCTTCTCCCAAAGCTAACTAAGTAATACTCAAATAAACTTTCAATTTTTCTCATGATCTATTCTCTTCCTAGCCTCCTCTGTTTAGTCTTTAATGACATCTTCATTCCACTTCCTACCTAAATTTATTTCTGCTTTTTTCCTTAAGCTTCCTTGCAAATTATTGTGCAAATATAACTATACCCCTGCTTATGGCCAGTTCATGACAAATGCCCGACAAATTAGTAAGGTCTCTTGGCTCCCATTGATGAGTGTCCTCCATATAATAATAATAATAATAATTAAATAATATTACCACTAGTTCCAACTGGGAATATGACTAGCAATTGATAGCTAGTAGAGAGTGGAGAAAGGAATACCAAGAATCCTCCCAATAAATAATATGCTTCACATTTATCCATCTATGGATTTGAGTTTCCAAGAACTAGCATAAGGGACAGTAGTCACAGGACCCAGATAGCACAATCTAAGACCATACTCTCTGTCTGCTGTCACAAAATCCCCTTCTCATTTGTCAAGAAACTGTCTACTTCCAATCTCGAATATTATAGACCTTATAACACAACGTATGATATTCTGGGTATGAGGGATTCATCTAGGTATAAGTTTCACGTGAACCCCAGATTCGTAACTGAAATTAAGCTAGAAGAAGAATCGAGATCATGGGTTTTGGTCTAATCTCATGAGTGACCCGCGCTTCTAATTTTCTCACATGTCACGATCACAGCTCATATCTATCTTGCCACACACTAGACTAGTTCCTTGAATGATTTAACATCTGAACTCCCACTATATTGAATTTTTGTTCCCAGTTTCTTGAATTATTCCCCATGAGATGTTCGCACTTTGCCCACTCACTACACTGAAACAATTCTAAAGGCTTCAATCTTATAATTATTATGTTGATCCAGAAATATATCCTTATAGACATAAATATATATTCACTCATATGGCTAAGTAACTTAATATACCTTATAGGATTTATAACTATAACAACTTTAATGACCCCCTAGTTCTGGTATAAAGAGATAAAAATGACAAACTCCCAAGTTCTGTTGACTCTAGATTAGCATTGAAAAACTTTGTCAACCAAATAATGCCAACTTCACCTAAACACCTTCATATTTCTATAAGTATCTCATTTCCTCCCAGCCATCCTACTAACATCTCATTTTGTTTAACTCACCTTCTTAACTTCAAACCTCATAACAGTAACAATTGTATTCATTGAGCTCTTCCAAGAAATGCTTTTGTCCCTGGTCCATTGATCAGCTCATAAAAGCACATTTTTTCACCCACCTTTGATAGTTAACGGTTAACCTCTATACCAAGATTCTTCATACTTCACCTTTTGATGTAGCTATATTGGATCAAAGTTCCTTGATTTTTTCACTCCCTTAATCTTCCCAACCCATTAAAAAAAATTTATCTTTCTTTGGTGTCCGATCTCAGAAACTATCTCCTTTGCCTCCTTGCCCAGCTTATAATTTCTTACTTAGTTACCTTTTTCTGCTTTTGCAGCATTAAGCACCAGAAAAAAAAAAAAAAAAAAGAAAAAAAAAAAAGAATTTTCCTATAGCTCTCATCTTCATACTATCATGACTCTTGACTCTTCATAAGTTGTTGAACCTTATTCGACAGTATAAACTCGAATATCATCCAAAATAATGTCTGAGAAAGAGAATAGAGAAAACGTAGGGATTTGTTCCCAAACTTTAATCCATATATTTCTTAAGACGCTAATTGATAGTACAAGGATAAAAAATCTTTATGTGGTTTTTATTGATATGGAAAAAACATAGGACTAATAATATAGCTGGATTACATGAAGGTGTCTAAGGGCCAAGGGCATTCCAACTGCATATATTTGGACTATACAGTGTAAAATAGAACTAAGAGTAGAATGGAAAATGTTATTTGGGGATCAAAGAAAACCACTATTAAGGACAATATGAAGATAAAATCAGAGAGGGGCTGGGTTGTGCACTGGTGTAAATTATATGCTAAAGACTTAACTTTGGTAAATGTGACAAATAAGGCATCACCGAAATATTTTCCTATGGCTGTGCCTAAACATCTAAAACTAGGCCCTTGTTTAATGTGTAAATAGTTTTTTTCATTCCCTTCTTCGTGCTCCATAAAGAATGCATTATGACAAAATCCCTTGTTACTAAAAATGAAACAAGTTTCTCTACCTCTATGCCAACCTACTCAGCAAAAGTGTAAGTGTCATTTAAAAAATAAATACAATAGACTTTTTCCCACCAAACCAGTTACACAATGTTAGAATACGTACAATAGTGCATGGGGTAGAACCAAAATAGTTAATTTAGGCAAGTAAACGATGTTGCTTTCCAAATTGTAATTTACTGACCCTAATAGAACAATGGAGTTGCACAATAATTTTGTTGAGATACAATGACAATCAATCAGTTTTGGTTAATCTAACAAGTGTTTGTGTTATTGAAAATCACTCACATCTCAAATAAGAATGCTCAGAGAATATCTTAGAAGAGAAAACAAAACATAAAGAATCACACATTTTGATCATCCATCACAAAAGAAAGTCATTCTATATTTATAGAAAAAAGGAAATCAGAGAATATCTTAAAAGGGAAAGCAAAAGGAATGACACAATTAGGTCATCCATCACAAAACAAAAAAAAAAAGGTCATTTCTCTATTTATAGAGAAAAGGAGATACATGAAGAGGTGTCTAACGTACCCCAAGAAGCATGTCTTTTATCCAAAAGACGGTATATCTTAATTATGAATATATTATAGTTACTCAAAAACTCAATTACATTACCAATAAAAAGAACATTAGTACTTAGTTACACAAAATTTTTACAACATATTACGACTTTCATTAAGCAAAGGAAAAATCATGAACCATTGAGTTCGCCAGCCACAAAAGAGCAAGGAACTTTGGCATGAACAAATTTTCCACGGGTGAGCACAAGCACAATACATGCCTTTACATATTCACTCAGATTCTATCATAATCAATTAACATTTTAACATGACCATATTGTTTTAACTTTAGAACTCACGAGTTGGTAGTAGTACCTAGTACCCCAACACCCAAATCAATTCAAATACTCTCTCTAGGTAACATTACCACATTTATAAGATAAATATTTCAACGCCCAATTCAAATACTCTCTATAAGGATATTATTGCCGCATTACAAATTCCAAGTACCCTATCAAATATCAATATACTTCCTTCCTCTGTTCTTTTTTACTTCATGTTTCATTTATCACGCTTTCCGATGCAGAACTTTAACCATCAATAACTTTTCAGCATAAAGTATTTACTAATTCCAAATGGAAGGACCAAAAAGCTTTCAACCACTAGATTGAAGATTATTGCACATTTACATGGTAGGGGAATTTTCAACTTGACTTGGCCAAGCCATATACTATCATAGATTCAGAGTAACAACATCACAATTATATTGTGTTAGTTGTTAGAACATGTTTTACCATTATCGAATTACCTTTACCCGACATTCTTGTAGAATTTCATCATATTCATTTCAAATAGAGTCAATTCCGATTTTGGGTCACAAAACAAAGTCCAAATCCTAACTTTTTGACACGCAATAATTTTATCATATACCCTATTCATAAATCATTCATTCATCAATTACCTTGAATCATTTAAAGACACATCAAAAACAATATAACATATTTTCAATCAACTACCTTAGTAATGAAAGGTATAGCTAAAAAAGATAGTAAATTGAAAAGGGGTAGACAAACCTGTTGAAAACTTTTGATAGTTTTGCCAAAACTCCGACCAATTTCCGGCAACTGTTTGGGGCCAAACACAATAGCCGCAACCCCAGCAATAACAGCAAGCTCCGGAACACCAAGCCCGAACAAAGAGTTGCAACAGAACCCTTTTCGGGTTCGGGTTGCAGGTCGGGTTCTGACCCTCAAGCCCAGGCCCGTTGTGTTGATCCGGAAGAAAGCGGTGGTGGAGCTTTGGTTGAGGAATAAGGAGGATTTTGAGGAAGAAAGAATGGCGGGTTTTTGAGGAGAGGAGAGAGAGAGTGAGGGTGAGACTGTTAAGATCTCCATTTTTGCAAAGGTTTTTGGTGGGTTTTTTGGAATTTTGAGGTCAGGGTAAAATATGATGGTGTTGGATAAGAGGTGATGGAGTTTGATAATTCATTTTTCTTTGGAACTTTTTGACTTGTTATCACAAAATATCCATGGGAAAGTGATAGATTATTCATTAAGAATTTATTATAAATTGATTATAGTTTTTTTTTTTTTTTTTTTTTTTTTTTGGTATTTGATAAGGAAAATAACCTATAGCGAGTTGGAATCTCTCAAAATCTCACATGTATTCATCCCGAATTAGCAACCTACTTCCTCCGTTCCTTTTTACTTTATCTGCTTTGACTTTTACACTATTCACCACCCTCTTTTGACCGTGTTTTGTGAATAATATGTAAGGAAAAACATATTCATGTTGGATCTTTTTGAATTCGTCTCAATAAGTACTATCACAATACATAACTTTTATATTTTTTACTTGTGGAGAATTAAAGTTATTGATCGTTAAAGTTTTTCATTGGCAAGCGTGATAAATAAAACAAGTCAAGTAAAAAAGAACAGAGGAAGTATGCATTTTGAAAATACAAGGAAGTATTTGATTGTAAAAAAAAAACAAAAATACAAGGAAGTAAGGGTGTCCGTTCGGTTTTCGGTTTGGATTTAGTCCAAATCCGATCCAATCCGAAATATAATTCGGTTTTCAATTTTTCAATCCGATCCGATCCGAATTTCTCTCTTGATCCAATCCGATCCAATCCGAATTACAATTCGGTCATTTGGATCCGATCCGAAAATCCGAATTATAATACATTATTTTTTTAGCGCCTAATACAATTATAAAAATAAAGCTTTACTATAAATAAAAGTCTTCAAAATCATGATTAAAATACATAGTTCAACGTCAAGTCATTAATTAATTAATACAAAGTCTCTCTAATTTATTTTATGTAGTATTAAGTATTTGAGTTAAACTTCAAAATATACAGAAATCCATATTTATACAAGCTTAATTTTACAATTCGGTTTTCGGTTTGGATTAGATCCAATTAGGGTTAATCCGATCCAATCCGAAAATCCGAATTTCCAAAAAATCTCAATCCGATCCGATCAGATTTAAAGTTCGGATCCTATCAGAATTGATAATTCGGTTTGGATTGGATTGGATTTCGGTTTTTATCTGAATTATGGACACCCCTACAAGGAAGGGTAAGGAAATCCTTACCCCAAAGCGTAAACCTTCCCATTAGACCAAGTTTCGCTTGGTGTTTCATTTCGTATGTTTACATTTTTCTCAGATACTTGTATTGTACGGAGTATTGTATAGCATAGATTAAGGAGTACTTCATATTTTATAACATATCATTTTGTTTTTATTTTTATTTTTATATGATGTTAATTTAAACCTATTAGAAAATAAGGTGTTTGGTGATTTGGTTTGTAAATATTAAATACATAGTAATCATAGTGTAAGGTATATGATTACAATTATAATGAGTAAAATCCATATTTACGGTTTGTTTAAGCAAATTGCAATTTCTAATCCAAACATACCCATAAGGTACAATGGGGAGAGCCCCAATAAACTAAATTCGTTTATCAAGTGATAAAATTGTAAATAAATCAATAAAAATGTTCAAGCAACATGGTATTTTCGTGATTATATCATAACTATGGACTCATATTTAATAAAAAGTTGTTGATTTATTTACAATTTTGTTTTATGATAAACAAATCAAAGTGATAAACTTGTATACATTTTCTCAAGGTACAATATGGTGTTTAAAATCTAGGGGGTGGGTATAGCTCATACTACCAATCCTCATATTAAATAAAATCAATAAATTCAATTCTGAATAACAACCTAACACAATTATTAAGAATCAAGTTCCAACACCATACAACACTCTAATCTTAATTTTGATTTCATACTCATATTACTCCAAGAACAAAACTCCAAATATTATTCTGAAGTGTTTCTAAGAAAAAAATTTGTCAAATTGAGGAGTTTTTTTTTTATTATTATTAACAACACCTTAAGCAAATTTTCCATTTATCCAGTAACTCGATGTGATTGATAACTAAATGTCACTGTATTATTAGTAAATGTACTACTCCCTCTGTCCTACGTAGTATAATACATGACACAGTTAAATATTTCATGTCAATGCATTAGTAATTAAATATTAATGAAGATTTTTGGAAATTATATTATGAAATTTATATTAAAACCTATATAATAACATATTTTATAATAAAATATATTTTTATTATGTTATAAAAAATTATGGTCGAACCTAATGTATTATTAAGAAATAAATAAATAAATAAATAAATAAATAAATCTAATGTCTTATATATTATGAGACAGAAAGAGTATTCATTTAGTTTTAAATGGTTTGTAAAAGGTTAACTTGGCTGAATCGATTCGAGTTAAACGGGTTTGTAAATTGTTCAATTTTAAACAGTCTACGGGTACCCTTTTTTTTTTCCCCTCGAGTTTGATTAGTTTTTAATAGTCTACGGGTATCACTTGCTTCTCTATTCAATTCCCGCCATTTAACAACCATTACAGAGCTCACCACAAAGAAAAACCATGTCCTCAACTTCAAAGTTGATCTACACTCTTCTTCATCGAAAACCAAAATCTTTCAATCAATTGAAACAAATTCATGCCATACTCATTACAACTAACCTTAAATCTCCTTCAACATTAGCCAAACTTATTGAAAACCATTTTTTACTTTCTCCTAATCAAGCTCCAATCCATGCTCATCTCATTGTTAACCATAATCAAACAGATTACCAACTTTTTCTTCTTAATACTTTGATCAAATGCAGCTTACCCAGAGATTCAATTCATCTTTTTGCTAAATGGGTTTCTGTTTCTTCCATTGTTTTTGATGATTATACCTTCATTTTTGCTCTTGGCGCGTGTGCTCGATCGCCTTCTGTATCAGGTTTATATGAAGGAAAACAGATACATGCTCGCGCTATGAAACTCGGGTTTATGCCGGATCTTTTAGTTTCTACGACTGCATTGCATTTTTATGCGAACAATGGTGGTATCAGTTTTGCAAGGAAGGTGTTTGATGAAATGCCTGTGAGAAGTTCTGCTACTTGGAATGCGCTTATAACAGGGTATTCCTCACAGAAACAGAATTCCCATGAGAATTCAATTAAGGCTTTGGTGTCTTTTAAGGAGATGATGGTGGCGGGTGATTCGGATGTGAAGCCTAATGGCATGACTTTGGTTTGTGTGCTTTCCGCTGTTTCGCAGTTGGGTTCCCTAGAGAGCGGGTGTAGTGTTCATGGGTACATAGCGAAAACGATTGATGCCCCGGAAAATGATGTGTATGTTGGCACTAGTTTGGTTGGTATGTACTCTAAATGCGGGTGTCTTGGTATCGCGTCCAAAGTTTTTGCTATGATGAGTGAGAGGAATGTACGTACTTGGACCGCGATGGTTACAGGACTAGCTTTCTATGGAAAAGGAAGAGAAGCAATAGAGCTATTAAATGAAATGAGGGAATGTGATGTAAGGCCAAACACTGTAACCTTCACAAGTATGTTGTCTGCTTGTTGTCATGCAGGACTTGTTGAAGAGGGCTTATATTTGTTTCACAACATGGAGAAGGAATTTGGCGTCGCGCCTCAGATTGAGCATTATGGGTGTGTAGTTGATCTTCTTGGAAAAGCAGGGCTCTTGAGAGAAGCTTATGATTTTATAGTTGGAATGCCTACTGAATCGAATTCAGTCTTGTGGAGGAGTTTGCTTGGTTCATGTAGGCTTCATGGGGATTTCGTGATGGGTGAGAGAGTGGGGAAGATACTACTTCAGCTCCAATCAGATTTACATTTAGGGAATGAAAGATCTACGAGTAAAGATTATATAGGTCTTTCGAATGTCTATGCACTGGCAGAAAGGTGGGAAGATGTAGGAACAATTAGAGAAGAGATGAGGATGAATGGTTTAGAAATCAAGCCTGGCCATAGTGCTGTCCACTGAACGATCTGGTTTAGCTCTTTGCGAATGAAATCTAATGAATACAACTAGTGCTGTCCACCAAGTAATCTGGTTTAGGTAGTGAATCTCTTTTTGTATGGAAACCGATGAATACACTAGTGTGGTTCACTGAGCTAAGTTGTTCACCTTCAAGTATGATAGACTCGTGAAGATAGCCTGAAATTATGCTTGATTACAGAAAAGTTGTACTATAGTGTATAACTCAGGAGTTTTTGCTGTTGTGGCTGAAAGTGTTTGTAAAGCTTGGCTATCTGCATGAGGATCTAATCTAAGGAGCTTAATATGGCAGGTTCGCTGCCTGCCGGTCACTCTACTGACAGCGAATTCGCAAGTGTGGAAATTGTATGAGAATGATTTACAGTTGCAATAGAGAGAGCAAGAGAGAATGTTGAAAGTAACAGCCAATATCTTACAAGAAAGTGCATATTATTTCATGAAAGTGGTAGAGAGTAGTATGTAAAAGCTTTAATATCATAAAAGAAAGTAATGACCAATACCTTACAAGAAAGTGCATATTATTTCATGGAAGACTTTCAGGGACATAGTGAGTAGTATGTAAAAGCTTTAATATCATAAAGAAAACAGAGATTATATTGCGGCATGTAATATGGAAAACTGTGCAAGTTATTTGAAACAAGAGAACAACTTCAATCTTCAATGCCTAATGGAGGCAACATAAAGCCCAAACCATATTGGTGAATGGTGTCTCAAGTTATAGTAACTTGTTCGATTTTACTAAGTGAACAAACTTACAAACACATGCAACTAATCGCACATCAAAAATGTTTTTAATACTCCGTACATGCAAGAATTTGTCAAGTATATGACTCCTAAAAACTAGCATTCGGCAAATAACATTAATCTCCACTAAAATCTGTTCAACGTATTTTTTTTTTTTTTTTTTTTTTTTTTTTTTTTTTTTTTTTTTTTTTTTTTTTTTGTAACAATGACCATAATATCAACAGGGAATCAATCTACTTCTAAACTTCAGAACTTTTTGTTTTTGTTTTAATATTTTTCTGGGTAGATGAAATGGACCAGATTCATCACGGATCAACTAATATGCTCATATTAGCAAGCTAGGCCCTCAAGGGTGTTGCAGGGAGGGGGGAGAGATTAGCAGAAACGCTAATCCCTTTACTGTAGTTGGGAGGTTTTAAGGCCATCACAAGGTAGATCCTACCAGCTACAAGAAGCTATCAGTAATGCTAATCCATAAATGAAATAGATTAGACAGCAAGACAATACCGTAACTCATGCTATTTGGCAATTCAAAGGCAATACAATGCCTTATGGTCCAATATGCAATGACAGGAAAAAATTAACAATACTTTACATGACAATGGCAGATCAATAATGGATCTGAAGAATCTGCAGGACAATGACTATTGCATGATTATTGCTCAGGACCACCATGTGGGCTACCTTGATCCATTCCCCCACGAATCCGTTTCTGGAGGTGCTCTAAGCTGGCAACTCTTTGCATGGAAGAAGTTCTTGCAATCTTGCTGCCACCCAATACTTGTGTTGCAGCATTTTGCAGCACATCATCAATAGAAGGAATGTCAGTGACACCATTGTCAGCTCTTGGATGAGATGCAGGATGAGGATTATCAACGGGCTGATAATAATGAGTTTGTTTAGGGTCATCTTGCACCGGCACAGCAGCATCAGCTGAGTCAGAAGGGCAAGGGCTCCCACCAAAGGGTCCCATTCCCATAGCAGTGATTTCGGACATAGCCTGCAGCAAGGGATTCATCCCTGTAACTCTTTTCACAGTCTCCTCTGCCATTTTTACCTGAAGAACAAACTTTTCCATTAACTAGGGGAAGCAGATTAAACAACTTTTAGTTCTAGGTTTTCAAAAAAAAATTTAATACGTGATACTCAAGTCAAGGAATACCTTTGCCCTTAAAGTCTCCACATCAGCTTTTAAAACTCTATTGTCCACAGCAGCATCATTGAATTTTTGGCTTATGTCAGTAAGACGCTTCAATAATGAAGAATTTTCACCTCTCAGCTGAGAAACCTATTGTGAAGTGTGAACAGAGGAATTATTGAAGATGATGAGTAAAATAGATAATTGTACAGATCAATATCAATACAAAAGTAGACCCAAAATACCTGTGTCTCAAGTTCAGTCAGATGTGCCTGCTTTCTCCTCCTTGAGCGTCTAGCTGACTCTCTATTCGAAAGCATTCTGATATACAGAACAGTCACATGTAAACATGAATGGAGAGAGAGTTGATACTTAACATAAAGAAATTAAATGAACAAAAAAAATAAGAAGAAGCATGAACCAAATAGCAACTCAAAGAGCCAGACACATTAGTGCAGGAAATACACAGTGGGATCCATACTTGGAGGTGCTCTTGTTTGAACAAATTGAGAAGACCAAAAACACAAAAATTGAAAAATAGATACGTTGAGAAGACCAAATCACAAAAATTGAAAAATAGATATAAAATTTTTATTAGGTATTGTTCTACAGCATTTCATCACCTAGAAACATTATGGCCAAATTAGGACATTTTGATTAGATACTTCAAGTTATAGGGGGAAGTTTAGTTGATTCAAATTCAACAATTCATCACTACCCTATGCATTCACCTCCATCCACAACTGCAATAACCATAACTCATTCCTTATCCAGCCACCGTCACCAAAGCCAATAATCCTGCCCACCTCCCTCACAGATCAAGCACACTGCACACCCCATGCATCCATCTCCAGCCACAACCACTAATCATCATAACTCATTTCTTGTCCATCCACCATCATCATAGTCCCTAATCCCGTCCAACAGGGGTGAGCATATACTAAGGAAAGCCAAAATTGGAGCAAAAAAATTAAATAATAATTTGAGACCATATCATAAAAGAATAGACTTATTTTTTAAACAAGTTGGCAATAATTTATAAGAAGTCTAAAAAATGATCCAAAAGCCTGTAGCGGATCCAGTTGCGGTTGCATTTTGAGGAACCAAGTCCAGTTTCTACCACCCACCACCCTCACAAATCAAGCCCACCTACCACTTGCTCTCACTACTTCCACCACCAAAAGAACCCACAAGGCCACAACCAAGCACATCCCATCACTATTTCAAACGATCCCCACACAACTCACCACCTACCACCATAATTTGTTCCTTGTCCAGCCATTGCCACCATCACCATACACCTCAACCAATCCCGCCCACCATTCTCATAAATCGAGCCCACCCAACACCGTCATACAACTACCAATTCCACCACCAAAAACACCCAAAACCAAGAACACCCCTGTGACCCACCACCATCTTGCTCACTATTCTACACCCCCACATAGAGAGAGAGCGAGAGAGAGAGAAGATCAACGCCACTCATTTTTCATTTAAAATTGAAAACTAATGCAAATCAAACAAAAAGGACATGAGAATTATTAGATCTGCAATAATTTGTTATTTGCAAAATTTAATTTAAAAAAAAATCTTTGAATAGAATAAACCTCTTCATCCTCATCTCAAAGGTTTGCACGTCGCCGGGGTAGTATAATTGAGTTGTTGCTTGTCGGCAGTCTGTGAATTCTGAGTGTTTTGGAGGGGAGAGAGTGACTAGTGATAAATGGTGGAGGTGATTGTCACAGAAAAAGCTTAGATTGTAATTAGATGTAAAATGTTTGTTGGAGATTCAAATATAAAAGAAAGTGAGTCAGTGAGGTGAGATTAATTGACTAATTAAGGTGAGTTAACGGGGCTTGAATTTAGATTGACTAGCTTATTATAAGGCAATAAAGTCATTTATGGGGGTGTAACATTCCCCATTAGGAGATGGTACGACGTATGACAATTTAAAAAACAGCCTAAAAAGGAACTATTTAATTTAGTCTCACTTGACTTTGCTATAAAAAAGTGGTGTCTATGAATTAGATGTGTTAGTTAAAGTAAGCAAACAATTTGCTCTTCAGCAAATTTGGCTCCCTATAAGAAGAAATAGTAATTTTATAACATGTTGCTAATTGCAATCACAAATAAATTACTTTCTCATTATAACGTGCCAATAAGTTTCATGTGAAGTCTGACTTAGCAACACATCAACCAGATGACATCACAAGGAGCTTATGAAAGTGTTTTATAAAACAACTGACATCACATAAATTACTTTCTCGATATAGCTGGCATAAGCTTCACGTGAAGTCTTACATAACAACACATCATTCAAATGAAATCATGAGGAGCTCACGGAAGCATTGCACTGAAATAAATGATATCATGCAAATTCAATTGCAATGAAGCCTTTAGATGACATGCTGAATTATGATAGAAAATTCATAATCAATCTAAAAGTATGCAAGAGAAGCCTATCCATGTAAACATTGAGTTGATAGAAGAGTGAGTTATGAAGTCTACAACATCAAGAATAGACTAAATGAAGGTTGGAGACAAACACCTCAGCAGGATTCATACCAGATATCTTATTATAATTTATATATTAGTAATCTATCAGATTATCTGAAGTATACAAGATCACTTTAGTTTCTTTATACTTTAATTGAGTTAAGAATAAAGATGGGGACTAAGTTTTTGGATTTTTCACCTTATACCTCAATGTTTTTTTTTTTTCACCTTTTGGGACCTAGAGTTAACATTTCAGCCAACAAACTACACTTAAACCCACCGGAGTAAAAACGTAGGTCCTTCCCATTAATTACTAGCCAAAATTCCAAAAAAACATAGGTCCTTACTCCTTAAAAATCTGAAATGGATAATAATAAATGAAGGGACTAAGCTTTTAACTAAGGGATTATGTTTTTTACGAGGCATGATACTCTCTACTCCTGACATGCTTAATTCTTTATTTATATCATTCGGCCTGCGTGTAGATTTTGTATACTTTTACCTACTAATTACTTACTTTCTATGTGTGACTTCAACATTAATATAATTTGAGACCTCGCTTAACTTGATATCAAATATATACATATCAAATACGGATTAGCATAAGCATAACCTATTATCAATAATCACCGGCTCTATAGATGGCGATCAATAGTCATGATATGTGACTAGTTAATTACCTATTTAAAAAATGATAACCTGAAGTATAAGTTGAAGTTTTCTTTTTCTATCATTACCAAGTTAAAAAGGGTTGCTCCCTCAAAAAATAAATAAATAAATAAATAAAATTGTCATCTTTAAATACGAAGCGTAAGTTGAAATAAGTTTTATTTAGTTATTTTTACGTATAATTACAAGTATATAAATTGAACTATACTTCATTTTTTTTTACAATGGCCATGTTTGGGAGAAAGCTGAAAGCTGAAAGGTGAAGCTAATTGAGTTAGCTGATTTTGACTAGCTGATTTTATTAACTGATTTGACTAACTTATTGTATTAACTGATTATATAAAAGTGTTTGGTAAATAGCTGATAGCTTAAAGGTGATTGAGTATGTGAAATGACCAATAAGCTAATTGTGGGGTAGGTAGTTTAGATAGGATTTTAAATTAAATGAGGTTATAAGTGTCATTTCACAATAATTAATGAATAAGCTAATTGAAAAAGCTCCTAAAATGAGCTTTTTCAAAAATAGTTTATTTAGTGGAATAAGCTCTTTCAATAAGCTTACTACCAAACACTTGTATTAGCTTGTTTGACTAGTCAAATAATCAGCTAAAGTTAGTCAAATAAGCTAATATACCCCCAATAAGCTAACTACCAAACAGGGCCAAGGAAATCACTGTTTTAACAATATATTTACAAGTTTATTTTGGTTTATTATTGTGGGTTTAGTTAGTGTGATTGCAATTGTTTATCGTTGATAATGTTTTCTAATTATTGTATATAATGAGTTAATGACAGTTGTGATGTACACCATCGATCCATACTAAGCGACTACCTATCTAATTGTTAATATGTGAATGTACATGCACTACAATCATGAACAACATCAAATTT